GGAGATACCCTGGAAGAAGTTCTGAAAAAACAAGTGGTAACTACTAAACTGTTGAAAGAAGGAGGTTTCAACCTCACAAAAGTTAGAACCTTTCCTTCCCAAAAGGGAGAACAGGAACAATACAAAATCCTGGGAATTCTATATAATTCCTCCGATGATTCTTTATCAGCATGTGCAGATAAGATATATCTTCTGGCAGAAGCTGGAATAATCTCGAAACGAATGGCTGCTGGTATCATTGCTAGATTGTACGATCCTATGGTGTAAGGTTTTACAATGTGAGAATAAATTTATCAAGCCTTACACCTTGATTGTGATTTTTTGGTAGAGTTCCAAATTTGAATTATAGCAATTTTATAACTGAATAAATTGAACACGGCAATTGGCCGGGCGCGAACCGACCGGGATTTCTCCCACTAGCGCAGACCTTTCTTTCAAACAAGTTCAAATACAATCAATTCACACAAAGTTCCGAATATACACACACACTCTCACACAGGAGGATTTTTCCGAAAGTTCGACAAAGGAGGATTTCAAAAAGGTGGGTTTGTACCCAAAAAATGAAATGCAGTTTCAAATACAATCAATTCACACAAAGTTCCGAATATACACACACACTCTCACACAGGAGGATTTTTCCAAAAATTCGACAAAGGAGGATTTCAAAAAGGTGGGTTTGTACCCAAAAATGAAATGCAGTACTCAAGAGAGTAAAAAGGAGTTCCACTTAGAAAAGAATCCGAGTTTGCAAGTTCTCTCGAACTGAGAAATAATTTTTGTTTCAGATTAAAAGGAATCTCGATTGATAGGAAAAATATTTCAGATGTTACGAGGTTCTTTCTCACACAACACCTGACAAAAGAAAATTCCCGAATTTCTCAGAGTCCACAGGGTTTTGAAATTTTAAACAAGTCCGAAAATTCCGTACGCGAAAATTTGTCTGGTGGTTCTCAGGATTCAAACTGTGTGTGTTGCGTAAAAATTTGGGGGTTTTATGCAATTCTTCCCCACCAGATTTGGCACGAGTTTTCCTGGCAGAAAAACACCCAGGTGTCAAGGTTTTTGAACACTCGAAAAGATGCCAGATGTTGGCAGTTGTTAACAAGTTTTAGTGCTGTTTTTCCATCGATCTTCAAAGTTTTGTGCATGTTTTTCCCGGCACCGGGTGTTCGGAGTTTTAGTATGCTGCCGAATTTTTCGGCAGAAAATAATATCTAGGGGAACTAACTTTCGACAATCTTGACAGCGCGTCGTCTCGTTTTTCGGGAGACAAATTGATTTTCAGCGGAAAACTGAGAACAAGAAGATTTTTATGGTGCGTTTGCCAGCAGCTGGCTTGTAAATTTGTGGTGTGCATCTTTTAGGGTCAAATGACCCTGGTTTCAAAACTGCAGAGAAAGGAGGGGAATTAGTCTCTTCCTGCAGAAAAAAGGCGCAGACTTCGGCAAATGTTTTTGTCCCGGTTCGGGGGGGGGGGGGTTTTCTTTCTGCTCATGGTGACTTTCTCCTGTTACCATTCCTGATGTCCCATTTTTGAGCATCCCAGTTCTGGGATTTTTTCTTTCCCGATTGTTTTTGCGCATCCAAGATGCGCGGATTAAATTACTCGTCGGCGTTTCTTTTAGGTTCTGGTTCTCAAAAAAGGGGGGTCAGAAAAATTCTGCACAAAGGCTGCGTATTGTTACGAAGGAAAGAGATTTTAGCCGCCCTCTTTCGGGATCACAAAATAAATTTAAAAAAGGAATAAAAAGAGACAAAGCTTGACTTGTGATGTTACAGTATATGTTCAGTGGCATATTTCATATACGAACAAAGAAGCGCAGTATTGTCAGAAGACCATAATCTCATACATTTTTTTCTGCATGCACCTGCGAGGCCTGTTGTTTTGCAGGGATTTTGAAAAGTGAATTGAAGAAAATAGGATGAGGAAATCCTTTTGTTATTCTCTTTTATTATTCTGAATCAAGAGCTGCAAGAAGTAACTATCCTGTGTATCTCCCCCCCAAAAAAAACCCTGGCTACCCATGCAGTAAATAAATCCAGAGCTGATTATTTCCTTGTTTTCACCAATGGAAGGAGGGAGGAGGCAGGGGTTGACGAAACAGGAATACAGGAGGGTTCATTCATAAGTTGTGAAATTAAAAAAAAAAATACAATGGAGTTTCAACAAATCAAAAATAAATTTCAGTGAGACTGCAAGATGTGGATATAATTGGTTTTGGGATTTCGTCCTTGTGTTGAAATATCCACGTGTCAGGTCTGATTTTCAAACAGACTTCAATGAAAACTCATTTAATTGGTTCTCCAGTTCACCAAAAATTAGAAGTAAATCCCCCAAAAATTTAATGAGATGTGTTTCTCAACTGAAAGATGCAGAATATAACTGTGTAAAGAAGACAATCACACAAAATATGATCTGGCTTCAAAAGAACACCAAAGAGTAAAGAATATATACAGGTCTTTCCATACTGTACACAGATGATGGAGAATACTAAAAAAAGGGGCTCACAAAATTAACCTCTTTTAATTAACAATTTGAGCGAATTTTCAATAAAATTCCTTTTTGACTTCTATGAATACAATATAAATAGCTCAATTTGTTCTAGAGATATCAACACTCTGAGAAATGAAGATGTATAATTTTCCCAGGAATATTGAAAAAGTGTCCTGATGTCAAGATTCTAGCTGGATGTTGGGTCAGATTTTTCAACATTTCAAGTGTCCCCAAGTCACATGGTTCATATGTTGAGGTGTCTGTATTTTGGTGTCTCTCTGTATACTTGCATAGCCTCATCATTTGGCAACACTTCAGTGCAGTCAAATATACCCACATTTTTTTATGTCATGAATCAAAAACAATCAAACTAGTGGCAAAAACGAGTTCAGCTGATGCAAAATGATGAGGCTCTGCTGCAAGTAAAAATCTTCTTTAAAAATGCTCAAACTGGTTGGATCTACAGTATTTGTAAAAGTTGGAAAACTTTTGAGCCGAGAATCCCTGTTGTGTTACCCCGAACTGAAAACGAGGACATAATGTTTCGGGATTCATTTTCTGCACACGCAGCTTGGTTTGACTTCTTGGGGGATACACAGGATAGTTGCATCCTGCTTTTGAGACTCTGTTTTCCTCGAATAGATGACGATGTTTGTTTCCTGAATCCTGTTATCGTTGCCTAGTTTATCATCGCCGAAATATTGCATATAAACCCTCATAATTTATGATCGAAGGTTGAAGTTTTGTCAAGTGCCATCAGACGTTCTCATCCGAAGTCAAATAGTGCGGGGCGAAAATGGAGTTGGTTCGGGTTCTTCTTGTTTGCCAAATATGGCTTATTGTTGCAGTCCAAATAAGGAATGTCTTTGGTGCCACTGCTGCTGGGAAACCTCTCTTGGAGATGTTGGGTGCGTTATTTCTTTTCTCAGCAATATTGCATTTATTCTACTGTATTTTTATGCATGATGTACTATGCATATAGTCAACCCAGGATTAAATTGTCACTCCCACATATAATTCCACAAACTTCCCTGTGTGAAACAAATATTCCTCTGTTGTATTCTTAAAGGAAACCCTGAGGTAGTGCCAACAATCCCATTTTGAATGAAAAATAGGTCAAACTCAGACAAATTATGACATATATCCAGAGGTATTATGAGTTCATGACTGAGAGTCACATGCCTCTGCTCAGAATAATTTTTAAAATTCTATTTCTGAATTTTTGTGACATTCTGGGTGGAAATACAATAAAATTTATTACAATGAAGGTGGCGTCTTTTGAAAGGTTGATATACTACTGCAAGAAACAGTTCAACTCTTCTATACTTGGCCTAATGCATGCCAAAAAATGTATACTGCAATAAAGTCTGACGTTGATATTGCAAACCTCAATCAAGGCAAAATTGTTCCATAAGTCCCCCTCTTAATTCTTTTTTGGAAAAATATACGAATATACGAGTATTAAAAATATCTCTAAGGCAAAGGCTTTACTACATTGACTTTGGTATCTTGAAGCATCTGGAGGCCTTTTGGCAGTCATTTTATGGACAAATAATCGAAAGAGAAAGGCAATAAAAAATTAATATTGAATTTTTTTTATAGGAAGTAACAGAGGAATTAGGCAAATAAATCTTTGCCCCTAAGGTAAGCATCTCATTTACTCATTTGAGAATTAGTGCGAGGCCTAGAAAATAACCGACCACAATTTTTTGGAATCCTCCCTTGGTATCCCCAAAGAAAAAGGCTTCTAAACTTCCATGAGTCAATCTTTTTTGCTGGTCCCTTCATGTTAAACTTGAAGCGGTTCAACTGTATTAGCATGTATTGAATTGTGTTGTACTGAAGACATTTTCACCGAATCCTCCAATTTTTTTCCAACTAAGCAGTTCTGCAAACAAGCCTATTTTACCTATAGTCTACGAAGCACTAAACTAAGTTCTCCTCTAATCCAATATCCTCCATTTCTACAGTGGTAGTAAAAATTCCAAGACAAGATGGGGTTTGACTGTTGTAGTCCCTCCGTTTTACGAAATGATCATGAGAGAGATGCTTATTGTCCAGTGTCATGAGTGACTCATGTGGTGTATATAAATTAATACAGACGAGGAAAACAGAGAGGGCATGATGTCAATGACGACACCGCCGACAATGGCATCCAGCAGCAGCAGCAGCAGCAGCAGGGATGGTCTGCCATGGGCAGCACCCGTCGCCATGACAGGCATGGGCGGGGTCAGCAGAAGGGACTTCCTCAAGGTTCGACGCCTCCGTCGCCAGCAGGTGGAGCCACAGGAGTACACGGTGTGTTCCCGATACCCGACGACGCCGTCGAGACCTACTACGACAAGGCCTCCATCAGCTGCTGCTCCTAATCCTCCATCAGCTGCTGCTCCTAATCCTCATGCCATCTTTCGGATGAACCCTCCTGTCAATGGTGACCCCAATTTGGTTATGGCCAACTTCCGACATCCTACGCCGGCGGGGCAAGAGAACATGGACAACGCAACAACTAATGCTACTGTATCTTCTGACAACATGAATGTGAGCTGATGAGTGATTCTTGGGCTCTTTTTTTCTTTTTATCCCGGTCGTTAGTCATGGCGGTTATTCTCCGATTCATCCTGCTTATTTGGGGCATCCTGTTTCTGAAGATCTTCGAGAGGAGAAGAAGAACTAACTGTTTGTCACAGTCCAGGGAAAGTCCGAACGCTTTCCGTGGGGGATAAAGATGTTAACTGTTTCGTGTTTTACAGAAATGTATTTATCAAGCCAAAGTGGGTTGAAGATAAAATTTTGCAAGGGTCTGAAAAGACCATTCTTCTCTTTATTCAGTGAAATATTCTTACAACAAAAACCACTAAAATAACTTTTTTCAGCTGAGTTAACCTTTTCTCCTAGCCTCTAGTCCTGGATGGCAGCAAGTCCATAGACTAAATGTTAAGAGAATCCCCTTAAATAACAAACTTCCTAATTTCAGTGTGACAATCTTCTTGAATCTTGAGGAATGCGTCATAGATTCACTGGGTAGGAGTTTGCTGAGTATGAAAAACAGACACAGTCTGGAATTGCTGATCCCAAATGTGACAGACTGCTGTTTTTTATAGCTTGGATGCAACTTTACTTTTAATGAATGACAAACGTGCTTCCGAGTGGTTCCACACATTCTCCTCTCAGAATGAAGACATTTGTGCAACTGATAAAATGCATGATTGAAGCTAATTGTTGAAAGATCACAAGGACTTCAGCTGCTGTTGGGGCTCCTCCAGCTGCTATTCCTGGTGCTGCTGACAAAAATATCCCTGCTGCTGAGGAAGTGGATCCTGCTGGTGTTTCTGATGTTCCCGTAGAGGGAGAAAGTGCTGTTCCTCCTGAGATCTTTCGGATGAATCCTCCTGGGGGTGACCGCAAATTCGTCATTGCCAACTTTCCACAGCTCATGCCTGCGGGGCGAGAGAACATGGACGGTGAAGCAACGTCTGGCTCATCCGACGAGACGAATGTAAGCTGGGTAAGTATATTTCGTTCTTCTTCTTCCCCATCACCCCTCACATGGATTGCAATATTCTCATATTCCTGGTTCAATTGTCACATCCTGCTTGCAGAATGCTGCGTGATTAACAAATAAAGGAGGATAAAACAAAATCAAATTCAGAGTCCAGGAAAAGTCACAAACTTTTTTAATAGAAATGTTCAATTTCCAACTGAATTATTGAACGAAAACCTTTGCACTGTGCTTGAAAAGTTATTTTCTGCTCTTTTTTCAGGAAATTGTCATTAAAACAACTTTTTCAGCATGGCAAACTCTTTCTCAAGTCCCTTCAGAAACCTCACAGAGGACGAGTTAAATGAATCTTATTATAACAAATTGCATTATGCTACATAATATTTAAATTAAAGTCAGCTTAGGTCCCTTCCTAGGAGCCACAATGTTGCATGAGTTTCTTAATGAACATTTTGTAGATATAAAACTATTTTATTGGTCCCAATGGCTCCATTGTAATGAGATCTTTCTGTAAAAAAAAAAACTTTCTGAGGAATTTTTATAGATTCTCCAAGGGGAAATTTCGTGACTATAAGGCAGGCACAGTCTGGTAATTCTGATCTCAAATTTGAGTATTTTACTGATAAAATCTTATTGTAACATGGACAGAAGCTGCATTCATTGAAAAAATTTCCTGCAATGGAGTGGTTCCTTACATGGTCCTTCCACAATTGAGAGGTTTTCACATCATCTTTCCAGAATGAAAAGATTGGTACAAATGATGGAATGCATGTTTGAAGGTCAATTTTTTTAACGATTACTCAGTTTTTCAAACAATGCTAAAATGTTTAGGAATGTCAGAAAAGCTGAAGATGTAATATAGGTCTGATGTGATATTTCGTCCAGTCATGGAAGTTCAAAATTTCATATCAACATGTTATTTAGTCCAAAAGACTAGTTCTGTTGTCAAGATTCAACACTATCTTCAGCCTGTGTGTGTAATTTAATCTCATACCTTCAAAGGTAATTTACATTTTGATAACATTTTACAAAATGCTACTTTCATTCATGAATTGCATATTATTGTCTTACGAACTGTTTTCCTTGCTTTTAACATGCAAGCTGGAACATATCTTAGGACTGTTGAATATGATGTACAAGAACTTATGTATGTATTTATTTACCTTCCCCAATTCATACATGGTGGCATGAATATGGTATACAGTAGAATGCCATTACAACAAAATTTTGGGGACTTCAAAAAAGTTTGTTGTACCAAATCATCTGTTTCATTTTTCAAAATGATGACTCAAAGTAATTCTCACATCAGACCTGCGTATAGTCAGTTAGATCTTGCTTAACTCAGTTTCTTCTGTATATCTATGCTGTCTGAAAAACAGAGTTGTGTTCTTCAAAAAAATAGCTTCAGAAATACAGTACATTCCATCAGTTGCATTAATTTCTTCATTCTGGGAAGAAGTGTGGAACCGCTCTAAAGCATTGCTTTGATTGATGAAAATTTCCATCCATGCTACAGAAACCTCTTTCACATTTTGGATCAGTTGAATTTAGGATTTAAGACTGTGCCTGCCTTTATTATATGCCAGGGAACTCATACTTGGAGAATCTATTGAAAATTCCTCAAAAATCTTTTTTATTTTCTTTTTTACTCTGGAACTGGGAAGTTCGTTGTACTGTAATCTGTTTGTTTTAGCATGTTCCCCATGGGCTTTCTGTCAGGACTGGAAAAAACCATTTCTTACCATAAAATGTTGTGAAGGTACAGTAATTATTTCAACAAGTTTTGACTGTACTGTTGTGCATATATTTTTGTGTCAGCATGCTGATATGAATGGGAAAACTTGTATATACACTACATATTGCACAGTAGTTTATCCACTTCTGGGGATTTTTGCAGGAAAGTGAACGTCTTGCTTTGGAAGCCGTGTTGCGGATTTTCAGGAATTTTATGCGACCCCGACTCCACGCCGAACAATTCAATGACAAAAGCATCCAGACAGACGAAACCGAAGACAAAAACACCATCAGCGACATGAGCAAAGATGAAAAGAATGCGTATGGCGGCCAGAGGCAGTGGAGATTCTCTTTGTTTGAAAGTGACAATGCTGCTGCTGCTGCAGAACAAGCTGCTGCATCCACTTTTTCATCTCCCGAATCGTCTTCAAAAGTCATGTCATTCACCCGAAATAATAACACCGCCAGCAACAACCACAACAAAAACATCATCATGTACAAGCTCAAGAAGACGATTTTTCACGCACTCACAGGGAACTCGCCAAAAACAATGAGAAATGATCCGCAGCATCAACATCAACACCAACAACAACAAACGGCTGGTACTCATCCTGATGCTCACAAAGACACTTTGGTGTTGGGCAATGAGACAACGATGACGACGTCGACGGCAGCAACAATAACGAATAACAGTCAAGAGGTTCATCATCATCATCATCATCATCACCAGCCACAGGGTGGCAGCAGCAGCAGCAGCAACAGGGCCTTGGAGGACGCCATCATCAGTGCCCTCATGCCCCCGGATGTGCAAAGGGACTTGGCGGCAGCCGACACTGGAATAGCTCAACATCATGCACTGCCTTCCGCCAAGGTCCGAAACGAGAACGAGGAAGCAGGAAGACAATTTTTGGCGAAAAAGTGATGCATTCCTCACTATATATTCGAAAGTCCGTTCTGCAAGTCAACAAACAGCAAGAAATAAATGACCGTTATATTCCAAACATAGGACTTCAGTATACTAGTGGAAATTCTCACTTCAACGGAAATAACTGTGGCTATGATCCGGTCTGAATTCTGGGGCAAGGTCATGCAGTTTTTTGAGGGAGGGAAAATCGGTTTAAATTTTTAAGCAAGATGCACTCATTGCAAAATTCATACATTCCATCAAATTTTTTTTCCCGAACAGCTGTCACCAGGTGTACCAGCAGAGAACCTCATTGGATGGGTAACAAAGGTTCAAATATTGCAATTTGTCTTGGTATCAGAATTTTAACCTGATGCTAGGTGTGTGCTGACCAGCAAAGTCCATCATCATTTAGATTGACATAAATGCACTGTCTAAATGCAGTACACACAAGGGGTCTAACAAAAGTTCTTGGAATATAAATTAAAATGCCATATAATTGAGCTGAAAAAAAATTATTCTCTGGGGTCGTTAGGGAAAACATATTCTTTGGCAAAACAAAAAAGTCAGCCTTGTTAGAATGTTTTGAGATAGTCACCCTGGCAGAGTTCCGCCCTCCTTACGAAAGATGAGGCACCCTTCCTGCAGATTTTGTTGTTGTAGCCCAGCTTTCCCCTCAGAATTCTTGAAATTAAGGTGGCATCAATTCCAAGCATAGCCTCCAGGTCATCCAAGGTAATTCTGCCATTTTTATCAGCAGCCGCCTTCACAGCCACCAGACAGGATGGGAATCCTGCAGGGAATGTGGCGGCTGTGAAGCCAGCAAGCACAACACTGGAGATTTGTGACCAGTTGCCCCATTCTGCCAACAGCATCATGGTGAAGCCCTGAACAAAGGGTCCCTGCAACCAGGGAGAACCGCCCTGCTCATTTGCTTACTGGCCCTTATGCAGACTGGCAGCAATTGTTGCAGGATCTGTCTTCCTTGTCACATTCACCATTGCCATTATTGTGACCAGAATTTTGGGCTGACCATGTTTTGGTGCTGCCTCTTGTAGCTCCTCAATAATATGGTACAAGACTTGTTGCAACAAAGAGTGTTTTCTGTCATTGTTGTCATTATTGTTGTTGCTGATGCTGCTCCTGCTTTTAGGCCCTCTTGTGGTTGCCATTGTCACCCAGCTGCCTTCTCATACTACCAATGCATGGTTGTGGCGAGTCTTGTGAAAATGATAATGATGCTGATAATGAAAGGCATAATGCAATACAGCTATCTTTTATGGGTGAATGTGGAAAGCATCCATATTTTGTCATGCCTGTGTTGTTAATTCAAAGGGAAGTTAACGCATCAAACACAGGTAACAAACCCATATTTTGGAATATGGATGAATAAAAAAACAAGAGGCTCTGTGGAGCCATGCGCTGGAACTGACACAGCACTCATATATTGTGAGGAGCAGTGCATGTGTATTATACGGTGTGGGTGAAATTGGCCTCAGTTGAACTCGCCGCACTTTAACTTACCGCACCCTAACTTGCTGCTGCTGCAACTGACCACAGCCTGAAGTGACTGCAGTCACAATTTGCCACTGAAACAAGTTTCAGCAATCATTTCTCTCTGCAGTCACAACTTACAGTAGTTATATGTTGCCACTCTTTCAACTTGCTGTGCTTGATGATTAATTCAGACAGTTCTAGAACTTTTAAAAATTTATTTCACAGCAGAACATGTTTGCATATGAAGAAATGTACAATAGAATAAGATGAAAAAACCTTACCATCAAAAATAAAACTCACATCATTCAACCACCAATTGTACTATTTCAGGATGAATGAATTCATTGAATTCATGTTCTAAACCCTCTACATATTCTAAAATTTTTTGCACAGCAGAATGTCTAGTTAAGTGGAAGAATGTGGGAATTCCTTTTTTCCTAAAATTTTAGTCAATGCAATGGCAAGTGGCTGCAATTCCTGCAAGTTGTGATAGCAGCAAGTCATTACAGCAGTGAGTTTTTGCAGTGGCAACTTCCACCTGCAGCAACTCATCACAGCAGCAAGTTAACACTGCGGCAAGTTGTGAGAGCAGCAAGTTCAACTGCTTGCAGCAGGTTGGGTGTGCGGCAAGTTAGAAAGCAGCAAGTTTCACTGACATGACATTATAAAAAGCAGGCCAATTCAAAATTGTGCTGTATTGTTTTGAAAGCTTGCCCACTTTGCATAATGCACATGAGCTGCTATGCATAGACCCAAAGGTTGCTTTGTGTAATGCACATTGGTGTGGCGCAGGTGCATTATAAAAGTAGGCTTTAACCCTTCCGCGGCGACAGGCTCTTTCCCATTGCGGGACGAAGTACGGATTTTCTGGGGTGGGCCCAGGTTTAAATTTTGTTGAAGGCCATGAAAGCCCAGCCAGGTGGCCTAGGGCGAAGTCGGACTTTATCCGGCAAAAATGTGTTGTTGTGATTTCCCAAAGTCGGACTTTTTCCGCTAATCTTTTGTGGCCTCTAAATGGGAACCCTTCTTCTGGTGACCAAAATGAAAGGGCCAAGAAGCTGAAAATAATATAACTAATCCAGGGATGAGATGAAAAAAAGCTCAGCCTTGGAGATGGCTTTTTTTCATTTTTGGGCAAAAATTTTCTGCAGTATTTAAAAAATATCCAAAATGAAAGGGCCAAGAAGCTGAAAATAATATAACTAATCCAGGGATGAGATGAAAAAAAGCTCAGCCTTGGAGATGGCTTTTTTCATTTTTGGGCAAAATTTTTCTGCAGTATTTCAAAAATACGCCAGGATTTTTCTCGACTTTGCCCTGGATGCACTGTTATGATTTTTTTTAAAAGCTTCTCTCACTGACACCAAATTTTGCGAAAAAAGTCCGACTTCGCCGCGCAAGGGTTAAAAATATTGTGGTGCTGCTTTGAAGGCAAGCTTTGTATGAGCACTGTGCCATGTTCAATGAACCACAGTGTTCCTACAATAAGAGGAGTGGCACATGTGCATTACACAAAGCAGACAAGCTTTGAAAACTGCGTGGTGTTCTTACAGTTTGATGAGCAGCACATGCACACTATACATGGCAGGCAGGCTTTCAAAACTGCGTTGCACCCTCTTGACAGGAGGATCAGTTCTTATTTTCATGGATCAGCACCAAAAACATTTTTTCAGTTTGTTGCTTATTTTTTTTTCTTCCTAACACAAATGTTCACTCAAAGACACACATAAACACAGATGGACACAAACATGCAAGTATAGAAGCATACAATACAACATGAAGGTCAACAAACAGCCAAACACATACAAAAACCAAGGTAATTCAACAATCTTTGATAGATTTGAACCACAAACCAAAAATCTTGAGCCTGCAGCATAAGCCACTAAACCACAAGCACAGCATGCAGTCTTGTCATACACAGCACTGGTATTATACCTGTCATGTGAATCTAATACATATAGGGATACTGAGCCATCAGTTATGGATGTTATATCCAGCCATGTTTTAGTAGAAGGTAACATCCATGCATTTGCTGTAGCTGTCATTCAATTGACCAAGCAGTGATTACATGAAAAAATCAGTATTTATACTGTACATACATTCCTGCTGGTCAAAAAGAGAATCCATAAAAGTTTGACTGCATAGCTTGTGCTGGTGTCATGACACCAGCACTAGGTATTCAGTCAAAAAACTGTTCATGGATGCATGAACAATTGTGTTGAGCAGGAAATAACAGGCTAAGAATTGAAAAAAAAATAATATGCGCAAATTTAAAAAAATTCCAATTTTGGTATTTATTTTCAAAATAGCCAATTATGCATATTTTTCACAAACAATGAACAGATGAGGCGAACATTGTGGTGAACCAAGCATGCAAGAATAACAGCCATCTGCTTTGTTTTGAAAATGAAAAACTAAATGTATTGTAACCATTTTGAAAATTATCCTGTTTTCAGTTCAACTCAATTTCTACATTTTTATAGAAATATCATAACTGTCATTTTTGCTGAAATGGTATGCCTTGAAGTTTGGCTTATTTCTGATATTTTTTGTAGAAAAATGTGCATAATTGGGGAATTTAAAAATAAAACACTAAATTCAAAAATTTAGTCAATTTGTGCATGTTTGGGGAGGCAGAGCAGTGTCCTGGGGGAAGGTGGTGTGCTGTTTTGCCTCCCCTCCAAATGCAGTGCCACATTGCCCCAAAATTTGGCATGGATGGGCTTTCAAAATAGTATGACACCCACAGAAATGGCTTGGCATTCTTCCCAAAGCAGAAAGCCTGTCCTCTTTGTACAACACACATGTGCTGCTCCTCCCAACGCATGAACACAGATTTATTTTTTGAAAAGGCCTTCAAAAAGGGTGTGGAATTTTAGTTTGCATAGCAGCATTGGAAATTTATGATGGTCAACTAATAAGTCATTGAGATGTTTTTTTAAAATAAATGTTCAATTCTGGCTACCAGTCCCCCAGCCTGTTGGCTGTATTGTGGGCATTTCCTATGCAGTCATAGGGCCCAGGGTATCACTGGGTACCACCCAGCTCATTGTTGCTGGCTTTTATCAATGGTGATCAATGCCTAGATCACACTAGATCACCATGAAGAGAGAGGTGCAGTGTGGTGAACATCACTATTGACCACACTGTGCCAGAGTGAAAAGATCCATTAAATTTAGCTGAATAGCTATTGTTGATTTTTGCATGCCTGACTCACAAGTCACAAACCAAATACTGCACAGATCTCTAAAGTTGCATTTGAAAAAGATCTGGTCTGTTCAAATTGTATGAGCAATATTTGACCCAAGGTTTATTTCTTCCATGTCATCAAAACCAACTTTTGTCATATAGCACATCTGAAACCAAAGAACAAAGACAATAGAGTACAAGGTTCGTAGCAAATATTGTTTGGTCAATGCAGTTGGTCACAAGTGTGTTAAACTCATGAACAAGGAGGGGTAGAGGTCAAAAAGAGTAGAAATTGTCAGAAAAGTGTTGCTGCAGTGAGTGATGAGTGAGTAAACAATGAGCCATCCATCCATCCATCCAATCCATGCACTCCCTTATTGTCCAAGTACATAAGGCTTCTTGTCCTTAGTCCACAGCATGTACAACATCATTGCCAAGGAGCCACAAACTTCCAATCAGACGTGAGAAACAGGGAAGTGACAGCAAACACCAGGAACACAAACCCTCCAATGATGGTCACTATTATACATAGAGAGAAAACAGGTGTGGTGTACATATATAGAGAGTATATTCACCAGGACATAAGAAAAAGAAGGAAGGATTATTGGGCTGCTTATGCATCAGTGGAGTATATCTGCAAAGAAATTCTGACAAGGTGCACACTACTCATCATTGTTTACTCAAGCACTGAATGCGCTATCATAAGGAACTTGGAGGTGTGACAGAAAAAGGAAAGAAGGAGAGGAGGAGGAGAATTGAGACTGTGCACAGACCTGTTTTGACAGAGATCTTAGAGGCCAGCAACCTGCCTCCAATGACTGCTACCCCAGTGCACATAGCATGTCCCAGAGTGCCTCCAGTCACAACGCCCCAAACATTCTGCAGCAGGCATTAAACATGAAAGAATACACGTAATAAGTCCTGGCACATTAAAAAGTACCAAACAAAGAATTCATTCATATCATTTCTGCTCCATTATTGTACTGCATGTATAATAGCTGTACTAACATTAGTCAAAGCAAGCACAACAGTGGAGATCTGTGACCGGTCACCCCATTCAGCCAACAGCGTCATGGTGAATCCCTGGACAAAGGGTCTGCAACCAGGTGGCACAGCCCTGCTCACACGCTTACTGGCCCCACGCAGACTGGCAGCAATTGTCCAGCAGTAGTTGCAGGATCTGTTTTGATGTTCACTGTTGCTGTCAGTGTTACCAGATTTTTCTGTCAAACAAGGTTTTGGTGCTGCCGCTTGTTGCTCCTCAATAACATGGCTAGAGATTTGTTGGGATGAGGAGAGTTTTCTGCTGTTGTCATTATTGTTGTTGCTGCTCCTGCTTTTAGGCCCTCTCGTGGTGGGAGTAGTTGTTGTTGTAGTCATCCAGCTGCCCGGTGCTGGTTGTGGTGAGTCTAGTGACAATGATGATGATGATGCTCCCCCTGTTGTTTCCACTGCTATGGTTGCCATTGTCATGTCCTGTCCACCTTGTTGCGGCTGCCGCTCTTCCCCGCTTCCTCCTTCACCTTTCTCTTCTTCTTCTATTCTTCTCACATCTGCCTGCACCTCATCCAACTCTGCCTGGCCCTCATCTGGCTTCATACGAAACCCATCCCACAGCATCTTGAGGCCAAACAAGAGGAACAGGCCTGCTGATATGTACTGTGTGTACATCCTTGGGATGACGTGGACAGCATAGCCCAATGCAGCTACATATATGAATTTATTATTAAACAAACAGTCAGACCCCAATATGCAGACAACCTGACATAAAGAAAAATTCAAGTTTGGGACACTTGCAAGCCAAAAAAAAAACAGACCCAACATCCAGACATAGGCTTGAGTTAGGGAAAATTGTCTGAAATTTTCCCACAAATGAAAAATTTCATTCTTTTCAATTTTGATATCTTTTGAAGAAATCAAGCTATTTATATTCACAAAATTGAAAAAAATATTTCAGGACGAATTCACTCTTATTCATAAACAAAAGCAAGTTCATTTTGTGCATATTTTTTCATCATCTGTGCATATTCCAGCAAACTTATTCTTTTTCTTCACTTTTTGATCTCATTTTGATACCAAAACATCAGATTCTATGTGGTTTTGTCCTGCACTGTTATTATCCACAACTTGAAGTTGATGGAAACAATTTTTTTTGCATTTTTGACAACTTATCTGTAATTTTTGACAAAATGAAGAACCAAATAAATACATTAGCATTTAATTCTAAGCGGAAAAAAGACTTGACTTTTGGACATTCCAACATCAGGACACTCTTGATGCACCAAGAACACACACATCTTGGGCTTTAACTGTGTACACCATATACATGTTGAGTGTATAAATGGGAAAGTCGGATAGGACAATGAATAATAATGGGATCAAGAGTACTCCTATATAGTACCCTTTCACAGTATGTAAAGGTGTAGCCTACCAGAAAGTGCAGTCATGAGGAAGAGTGCCGAGAGGGCGCCAGAGTTCTGTTGGTCGGAGCCCACCCAGTACCGGTTCTACCGTCGTTACTTCTTCCAAAACAGTGGCTAAAGTCTGTGTTCGTGTTACGAGTTTCTACTCTGTTTCGGTGCGTTCTTCGGAACGTCCGGCCTTCTGTTATTATTGCTGCTGCCACCAGAGTCTGTGTCATTTGTGCTGCTGCCAGTTGTGGTGGTGCCGGGGGCGGCAGTTTTAGCATCAACCCGTTCCTCTTCAGCCTGTATAATGCAAATTCTGCCTTCAGTGCGTGTATGCATGCTTGAGCGATATAAATTTCTACCAACTATTGGAACAATGTGGGAAAATCCAGCCTGTGTACATTTACATTATATTATTGTCAAGGAGGAATATACACTGTACAGTGTACTGCTGTATACAGTATGTACACAATGAATACATCAATACAAGAATCTCATTACAGAGACCTCTCAGGGACAACAACAAAATTTTATTACAACAAAAAATAAATAGATCAATATGTATTCATTTATTTGCAGAAACAACTCTCTAACATGCAAACAAGCATTTTACTGCTTGAAATAGTCAGTGACTTTACTCTGCACAATTTCTTTGCCACAGAATACATTGTGACATCTCTCACTTGCTTTAGGAACTTGAAAACATGATCATTTCACTAACATAATGAACTTTTATTTAATGAATTTAGAAATTTAAAATAAAACTCAACGCATCAGAAGAGCATTAAAAGAAAATTTATAGATTTTGTTAGCTCTTGGAGTTCCCAGCTCCAAGTTTGCACTATGCTTCCAGACTCCTAGGACAATAGATGAATTAATTAGGGTACACTTATTTCATGAGCTTTCTGCTGTCCATTGATGTAACCTTAGCTTTCTTGTGTCTATGACTCTGAGGGAGACACATTTCCTGTACACCATGCCCTGATGAGCCCCAAGAAATAAGGCATNTGTACACCATGCCCTGATGAGCCCCAAGAAATAAGGCATGGCACAATCATCAAGGAAAGAAAAATTCAAAAGTCAGAGCAAAAATTGGAAAAATTATGCAAAATTGAAAAAAATGCAGGACAAAATTTTCTGTAACCAGAAAGCCTTTGGAAAATTAATTCGTTCAAACCAGATTAATTTAAGCTACCCCTCAATTGTAACTACTTGACAAAAATGTTTTGCACTCAGAAATTCCTTTAACAAGATTCGTTTCAACAAGATTCTATACTGCATCAATTATGAAAAGAAACATCAATACTTCTTTGTGCAAATAAGCCAACCATATAATTCTGCAATGACCCCACATGCAGTTCTATGTTTCCCATCAGTTCCTTTACATACAGTAGACTGTACACTATATTGTATGGAGCTCACCAGCAACATGGACGGGTTGAGCAGCCAACTGAACGGGAACTCGGTCGAGGTGTCATTATTGAAGCCACCAGTAGTAGTAGTAGTAGTAGCATCGGCACCAGGCAACGCCCAGTGTTGCGACAATGATGTCTGCTGCTCATGATGTTGACGATTCGTTTCATTACTAATCATACTGTCGTCCTCATCGTCCGCATTTTTACTGTTGGCCCACCGGCGAGGGGTCGTGAGAGTCACGGGTTCCAGGGAACTCAGCAACTCGGCCGCCACGGTGCTCAGACCGACGACTCTCGTCGATGACACAGACGGATGAGTTGGTTCATGAAACGACGACGTCGAGGGTGGTGTCGATGACGAGACCCGATCAGCCACGGCGTCAATGAACACAGCCGCCATCATCAGCACCACCACCACATTCACACTCCAAGAATAATTCGCGCCCGCCGCGAAGTTATTCCTGCTAACCCTCACCAGCACCATATTGTGTCCGTCAATAGCCAACTCACTCCGCAGGACTGTAAAGAAGAAAGAAGCACATAAATATATGACAGGGGGCTGATTTAATTATTGCTGCTCCTCCTCCTCTTCTTCATTTTCTATTTTTTTTCAATTTGTAGTGTAATGTAGTACAGTATAGAGAATTGGATAGTTTGCATGAGCAATGTTTGAAAAAACGTGCAACTCATCATCATGCAATGTCTTATTTTGTCATGAATCCAAATAGGAGGAAATCACAACGATCAAGTGGGCAAACGATTGAAAAATTAAGATACAAGGAATGGGCATCTCTGGCAACAGCAGCAGCATCAAAGCTGATCCATGGCTACAGAGATTGATGATATATACCAGCATTCCTAAACCTATTTTGGCCACTGGATTGGCAAATTTTCATAACGTTTTTTGCAGACTGGCAAATACCCCAAAAGTTTTTGAGGACTGGCAAATTTTTACAACATTTCTCCCTGTCTTGGTAAATTTAAAAAAAATGTCTGCACACCAGCAAAAAGATTCATGAAGTTTTTCATACTCAAAAGAGTTTTGATTGGAAGACCTAATGGCAGGTACTTGAAAGTTTCTGCAGTTTTGCAAAAGTTAAGTTAAACATCAATGAATCACCTAGAGGTGATTGTCATGAAAAAATTAGAATGGTGGCTTGCAGGAAAGGTTTCTCAGAATGAAAAATTGAAATAAGTTATATTTCATAAAGGAAGGACTTTGTCTGAAGTTTTCTCAGAAGGAAAACAGACTTTTTTTTCTACCAATAATTTCAACTGCCATTTTCAGTCCGTAAAACTTTGATAGATACTGAACTTTGTCGCTATTTTACATACATGTTTCACTCTGAAAATGTATCATGGACAGGTGAAACTTCTGCAGACTGGCACAGGTCTGTGGACCACAGGTTAGGGAACACTGACATACACTACCCTACCCTACCCTACACTACACTGCACTGCAATACATAATCACAGCTGAAATACGATGAATCTGTGAATGCATGTGCAATCATGCTGACAGAGATTTGTCTGGCTTGACCATCAACACTCCCTACAACAACAGCAACATTACTAAAATACCAGAACAAAAATGTGGGATGCATGAAAAGTTAACTACAACATTACTGTAGCATAGGTCAGGGTATACAGGTGGTACCTTGCAATTCAAAC